CTGTCTCGTTTTGTTGCTGAGAAAGGAGAATGCTGGTCATCACACTCCTGCACTGGTAAAAGGTAAGGCTTTTGCTACTCAACAACCTTGGGAAAGGAGGTTTGCGTTTCAGTGTGTTCGAGCTAAACATTAACAGTCTAACCACAGCTGTTACGTTGCAGGGAATATTTACTGCGATTATCCGTAAATAGTGAATATTAATAGTAATTAATAAAAAATTACTATAGTAAATTTACTATAGTAAATAGTGAATATTAAATGGTAAATATACAGTGATAGTTCTGCTGTATGTATCCCCAGATTAACATGTAAGTCAGTCACTACTACATATCCAAGAGAGCAGATTGATCTTTGTCAGTTGTTTGATCTTTAGCACCAGAGTTCTCTTGAACCAAGAATCATAGAGTAATTCATGTTGGAAGGTACCTCAGAAGGTCTCTAATCCAACGTCCTGCTCAATACAGCATCAGCAATGAATTCGGATCAGGATGCTCAGGGTTTTTTCAGCCAGGCCTTGAAAATCTGCAAGGATGGAGAGTCCCCTGCTTCTCTGGGCCTTTGCTCTGATGCCTGACCATCCTTACGGGGAGCTGGTTTTCCTTTATGTCAAGTTGGAACTTCCTCTGTTTGAGTTTGTGAGCCTTGTCTCTTGACTTCCTGCTGTACACCTTCATAATGGGTCTGGGTTCATCATCTCAATGACCTCCTCTTAGGTGTTGGCATTGCACAAAGAGGTAGGGTAGCAGAAATCTGTGTGCCACTGAGCCTGAGGATAGCGTCTGATTCTGTCAGCCTCAGCCCTGAGTTCTGGGTACTTGTGACTTCCAAGCAGCTGAACTGTAATTCATTTTATATATAGGGACTGCCAAAAACCAGACAAGTTGCTGCCTCAAGTCTTCTTGGTGGAGTCAGACTCTGGTCTGAAGCTCTGGTTCAGGAAACACGTTGTTTGGTTTTCTCAAGGATGAGGTGACATGGGTCTCAAGTGGGGAAGATCACAGGCAACAGCAGCGATCAGTAGGGAGCAAAGAACCTCCCCTGCCTGCTTCTTCCTGCTCTGGCAGTGGGCATGTTGCCTGCAGCAGGAGAGTCCATTTCTGCATCTTTTTTCCTGCAACCTCCCCTTCAGACACGACTGCTGAGAGAAGAGGATCGCTGTTGCTGACCCTCCATTAACACCACCACAAACAGCTCATGATGGAGACGTTCATCTGCTGCCCGATTGCTTCCTTTCATCTATCCACAATAGGAAAGAAATAGAGGTTTGGGGGGGAAAAAAAAAAAGATAATTCAAAAAATCCTCTGTTTTTTCTCCCGAGACTATCACAGAGTGTTCTGAAAACATGTACAGACACAGTGGATTAATCATGGCAGACTAATTACAGCACCGTGTCACCTGCTGCCTGCAGACCCAAGGAAAGTTGCTCATTAAAGAAACAGTTTCTGCTGCTTTTCTCACAGAGTGCCACAGGTGATGTTTACAGTGTTCATGTTTCACACAGGGAAATTTCCACTAGAAATACATAGGTGGGCACTGGAACAGAGGGTATTCCGGATAGGTAAAATATTTTCCCTCATTGTGGAGAATTCGAGTTTTTTTCCTTTGTTTGTAGACAGATTTTGCAAATGCCTCTTTCCATATGTTCTGTGGTTGCTTCAGAACTGATCCAGAGAAATACCTTATGCCTTATTCCGGAACCTGGAGAGGGGAAGCTGACACTTTTCCCGTATAAGCTTTGCTTTGGCCCCTGGGAAGTATAGAGTAGCTCTAAGGTAAATACCACACTAAGAAGTTTTGCGTTTGTAATCAATACCTCGGAAAAGCACTTACCCCTTCATGGTCTTGAACACTGCTCGGTTTTCCAAGCAAGAAAAATTCAACAATCATTCCTGAAACAGAGCAGTTAGAGAGGTGTCTGTCCTGGTTTTGACTGGGATAGGATTCGTTCTTCTTTTTAGCAGCGAGAAGAGCTCTGTGTTTTGGTTTTAGTCTGGGATTCGTTATGAGAAGAATGTAGATAGCGCACCGATGTTCATAGCTGGCCCTGAGACCTCAACAGTTTTCCAGCTTCCTGTGTCCTTAGGATTTGAACTTAGACTTAGGATTGAGGGCTAAATTAGCCAATGGAGTATTCCATATCATGTAATGTCATGCCCAGTATATAGATGAGGGTTGACAGGAAAGGAGGGCCTTTGGTCTTCTGGGGGTTCTCTCTTGTCTCTTGGAGTGATCTCTCTCTCTCTCGCTCTCTTTTCGGGCCTCACGCTCGTCTGGGATTGTGGTGTTGGGACTTACCTGTTTTGGGATCATTAGCTGGGATGGGACAGGCCTTGGTCACCGGGTGGTGAGCAATTACACTGTGCATCGCTTGTTTGTATGTATTATTATGATTATACATTATTGGGTAATAGTTCTCTGTCTTAAGGATCAAACACCATAAATTTTTGTCCAAGCTTTACTTTTTCCCATGAAGTGAGTTGGAATAAACATCAGGTAATGCTGCTGTGGCAGTGATGGCACAATTTTTGGTTACTCATGCCACCTGCATTTTGAAAAGCAGGTAGGTGATTGCCAGTGGTACAAGCTCAAATCTCTCATCAGTGCTACATTTGCCATCCAAGGTTTGCCATCGGCCTCTGGTGCAAATAATCCATTTCCCATGCTACACTCCAGTAAATTTTTGACAGGCTTGTATGGTAGAAAACAATCAAATGTATACACAGCAATTTAAAAAATAACAAGCCTTTAAAACTGTGGCCTGAAATCTCATTGCAGAAGACTGAACTACCTGTTGTGGAAGTGTACTGTGTGCCAGAACCGTAATGCGCTGCCTGTGCATAGCCTGGCCTTTTGGAGGAAGAACGGGAACAGAGAGATTGCTAGTTTTAAGCACTTAGTGTCTGTAAAAGTGGCGTGGAATCGGGTATTTTCCAGCCTGGGAGTTACATGAGCAGAACATGATGTTTCTGTTCAGGTCTGTAGTCCGAGTGACACCTCCGTGGCCACAGGTAGGATGCGGGACACACATCCTTGAGGGCCTGCACTCAAGCACGGGGCTCAAGGTTTGGGACTTCTCTTCCGTGTGGACACCAGCTGATTTAAGACACTCGTTATAGGTGAAGAGCCGTGTAGCATATTCTGTGCATTTGCTCCACACTTCGGTTCACAGCAGGAGTTAGAAGGGGATAGAAACGTTTGAGGTGCTGGTCACAAAGCAGAGGTGTCCCCAGAGAAAGCTGTGGCCAAGCCTCGATCTTCAACAGCTACTTGCCCACTGCAAGTGAATACAATTCAGGATAGAGGGAATGATTTAGTTGCATTTCATGTCTCTTGGGTAAGCTCAGCATGGCCCTCATTAATGTCTCTGTAATGGGACTGTGGTCAGATGAACCAAAACGTTTGATAAGAAGAGTGTTTTCATGTCAGGCTGCATCACAGAGCTCTGTGCCCCTCATGTTTTCTTTTGTTCTGTGCATAGGACTGATGGTTGAACTGGCAAAGCAAGGCCTCCTTGGCAAGAGGCAGAGCGACCTGCCCGCCGCTGCCAGGCTGGATCCCTCCGGGTACCTTCATGTGGCTCCTTACACCGAGACCTTGCTGCAGGCACTGGGTAGGTCAAAGCTATGGGAAATGCATTATTCTGGCTTTTATAAGGTCTGACAACCTTATTAGGGGATTTTCCTGAATAAGAACGTTAGGAATATGCTTGTTGTCTATAATAACTCATCTAGTGTTTCGCTGTCCATCAGTCATAGTAACTCCCATTGGATGTCTTCTGTTGCTGGGTGATGAATGGAAGAATCAATAGAAAAGGGAAATGGAAATACCTTTTTAAAGTAAATCTCAAAATATGTGGAAAAATAAATTATTTAAATGTGACATGATAACAACCAATTGGCCTTAAACCTACCGTAATTGAAAGATTAATATCCAATCAATACATGTTATTGCCATAGTTTCAAGAGAAGTCAGAATATTAAAATGAGATAAACTGATGGTTAAGTGTGTAAAACTAAAATTTGCTGAAGTGATAAATGTTGGCAGCTGTAGTTCTTCCGTAGGTGCAGAGAAGGCACTTTTTCATTTCACTTTGCTCAGATGTTCTTAATTTCGGTATGTACAGTTGAATTCGCCTCAGTAACTCATTTATTCAAAGCTGGGACATTGATAGGACTTGAAAAAGCAAGTAAAATGTGTTTTCTGTTATAAATCTATGACTCAAATGCGTAGAAGAGTCTTAAATCTTACTAGTTCTGTACACTGGGAAGTTGTGGTAATCAGATGTTTATTTCACTAACTACAGGTAGTGTTTTCTTAAGTATTCAGCAGGTTGATACAGTTTTATTTAACCAATTACATTATTTTAAATTTTGGATATCAGGATTTTTAATCGAAGTACATCGCTCTCCAAAATGAAATTCACACGAAATCCTAAGGAAAAATAATAATGAAATGCATGTCATTCACCATTTTCTAGTATTATGAAATGTTAAGATGTAGGAATAACTAAGTAAATTAATGTTAATCTACACGATTGCCTAAATAATCATGTAGTGAAACAGTATGGAATCAAACACAGATTTCTGGTGGGCTGGAGATTCTGTGGGCTATACTGTTCCCAATAGGATCATGGATATATGCCTGGTAGTATAACTGTCCCCAGTTTAGCCCTCGGTTGTATGCCACGTAATCTCCTAGAAAGCAAAATGAAATATCAATTTAATGTGAAGTCAGTCATTAGTTATCTATCTGAAATGGATGCCTTAAATCACTCTGGTAGAGATCTATCAGCTCTGCTTAATGGTGTGGATAAGAATACCAAAATTACGATTGAACATATTTGCTTTATATGGCAAAAAGTAATTCCAGTTAAGGAGTGTGACTAATTAGTAAGGCTTTGCTGTGATACTGCTCCTCCTGCATGACTCTGGCCGTGCTGAGCTGCAGCGTGAGGAGCAGCATCACAGGGAGGCACTGGCTTTTCTTCTGCTCAGTTGAGAATTAGCCAATTCCTTCACACTAAAAAAGACTCGAGATCTGATTTCAAGGGGTAACTAGTTTGGTTTTGATGATCTCCCTGGTCAGGAGGAAACCTCAGTGCAGTGCCAGACCCCCGTGATATTCCTCTGGATCTTTTCTGGAATCGAACATACGCTTCTGATCCTGAAATGGAGCAAGTTGTCATGCTGACAATGATTGGAACGGACGCTATGAAGAGTGCTGGAGAGCTCTTTCACCAAATCCTTCTTCCTGGGCCCGGTAATCAATCTCAGAGTGCAGGTGATCCCAGCTCTTGGGGAGGGCTGCAGGAGTCGGTCTGGAAAGTTTGTCCTGTCCAGGTACTTTTGTCATAGCAGGAATATTATGAAAAATGTGGTGAAAGGGACCTCAGGACGGACAGGTTTCTTTGCTTACCTGCCTGAAGAACCAAAGAGTTCATCGTGGCTAGTTAGTCATGGGCAGGGCCGCTTTTCATATTGCAAACAGCTTAGGTGGGTATAACTTTCTTCAGAGAGTGCCAAATTAGTTCAAAGATGTGCTCAAGGCTTACGAAGCCTATTGTGTAATTCAGAGCATTGTGTCTCTCCCTGAGTTGAGTACTGGGAGATAAAGCAGCTGTGTAACTGGGGCACAGCAACAGGAGTTCAGAAGCCACAAACTCTATTCTGTCCACTGACATCCTTTGCCATCAGAAGCAAGACACTTCACCACGCTTCGTTTCCTCATGCTCACAGGACGAATAACAACACCGTCCCCCGCGTTAAATGCTTACAAATGCATGAAAAGTGCTGTCAAGTGCTGAGCAGGATGATGGCTTTATATAATTTCCTGATACAGAGTGCATCGAAATGTAATAACACAGGAGGTGTACTAGCAAAGGGCAGAAGTCTGGCACCCTGTCTTCTACTGTGTTGTATCCTGCTCTCTCGAAACAGTACTGCAGAGTAAGTTCTGTATGATGGTAGGTGAGGAGGAGGTTCTAGCTGGCAGGCCAGCAACATGCACTCATGGATTGAGCTCCTAAATATCTTGCAATATTGGAAGTAAGACTACTTTACAAACACAACAACGTTTAAACTACTTTAGAGACAAGTCAGCACTAAATTGTAGCTTATTACTATAATGAATATGACTTAAAATGGAGTGTTATGAAAGGTGGTAAAGGATCTATAATTATGGATTATACTGTTTCAACCCACATTGTTATCAGTGTATTCTCAGTATTTCCCTTTCAACTCTTCTCCATTAGCTGTGTTCTCTAATCAAATCATGGCACTTATTCTCTGTGGCTCCCTGTTGATTTCCCAGATAGCCCATTTTTTGTTTTCACTGAAATGCAATTTCCTAGCATTTGTATCGTGTGGGTTTTCCCAGTATATTTCTATATCTGCATCACAGTCCATTTTGGATGCAACAGGGGGCAAAGTCAAAGCAGCTTAGGAACTTCTTGTCTAGTAAAAAAATCAATGTGAATTTAGAACACTTGTCTCCAAAAGAAAACGCAGCTTCTATGAAACACATGCTGTCAACTGATGCTAAACAGATTCCTCTTGCCTTGCAGAAGGACCCGATTCAGGATGTGAGCTCATAGGTCTCAAGTGGTTGCCCCGTCTCACTCGATGCCAGGCAAGAGAAATAACCCCTTTTGAGGTCGGAGATAGTCCCTGGCAAAGAAGCCTTGATACACTAATGTCAAACCCAGTCCTCGTGTGCGCGTTGCGGCGGATCAACGCCTTCGAAGTTCTTGCAGATGCACTGAAGAGGTTAACAAAACGCAGGGAGCAGCTTAGTGAAAGTGGCAGTCTTCTACAGACAGTAATGGCCTTGACCCCAGAGGTGACATTCAGACAAGCCATCCTCCTCTTCACAGAGACAGATTTTGTAACTGGTAAGGCATGTTTTTACTGTTTATCGTGTGCTTGGGTATAGGGTGTTTGGGAATTTATTGAACTCGGACAAAGGAATCCATTGCTATGGATTTTTCAAAGGCACAGAAAAACTTAATGATTTGAGGTTAAATTCTGTGCATGACTGAATAATCATGAGAGAGATTAAATCAGCAGGAGCCAGTTGAGGTCATCTGCACGTTGGCCTATTTAATGTGGCTTTGCACAGCCTGGTTCCCTTTCTGAAGATCTCAACTAACTAAACACTCAATAGATATTACAGCAGTTGGCAGGACCAGTAAATAAGACTGTGCCCTTTGTCTCTGTGTGTAAGAGAAACTGAGAAACAGAGGCCAAGATCCCACCTAAATGTGGGTACCTAATTGTGGTGTCTAACTTGTCAAGGCTTGTCATGTACTCGGAAAAACAAAGGTGCTACCAATCTGCAAGAGCTGAAGAAAGCATATTTCTGGAGAATTTCTTTTTTATCCTGGAAGAGAGCGAACAGTTCATAAGGAACGGAGACCTTTGTCGTCAAAAGCTTCTCTGACTTCAGTGATATATGCTAGCATTGATCTTTCAGCATAGTAAACCTGCTACTCTCCTTCTGCAGCAAGAAATGTATGGCCACGTCTCTTTAAACGAAATCCGTGCAGACCGTGGTGTTATCGATGTTGGATGCTTTGGAGCCACAGAGCATGAGCTCCTTGTGTTTTTCTTCTGACGTCAGGTATATTGGCACATCACCTCTGTTCTGGGGAAGCCTGGCTGCTCACACCTGAGGTTAAACAGTTCTGAGCCTGATGATTTTTGATTACTCAGCAACAGAGATAAATCAAGATTGTGGTAACACCGTGTATCGACTGAGGGAGGAGTGACACAGTTCCAGAAGTGCATTCATGCTTTGTAATTTATAGCTCTTCCTCCATCTTTTTGTGGGGGGGGAAAAAGGTCCTTTGTTGTCAACACAAACTTAAATGCTTGTGTCAAACACAGCGCTTGACAGTGCGCGGTAACAAATTGGCTTTACTGAATAGAAAGAAGAAAATGTGATGGTGTCAGGGAAAAGATACTCATTCTAGTTTCACAAAAAGTTTGATTTGACAGGGAACTACGTGGGTGTTTTATGCAAGATTGGAGAGCAAGAGAAGGAAGCCTTCAAGAAAGAAAACATCAGACATCCCAAATTAGTGTGTAAAACTATTAAGGATTCATGCGTTGCTGCCCTTCGTTAACGTTTTCTTCAGGCCAAAAGGCAAAATAAGAGGAAGGCAGAACTGTGAGATCAGTTTATTGAGGGAGGTTGCAATCTCAGTGCCTGGCTTTCCCACCAAAGCCATTGTCAAGAACAAAGGAGCACAGCTAAAGCACAACTTCAGCATCCTGCACTATCTCTTTTGTAAGGTCGTTACATTTTTTCCTCTTGTTTTTGTTGCTGTGGGAGAAATAGAAAGGTCTTTGTGCTAGGTAACAGCTCTTCAATATTTTGCAGCTGGTCAAACATCTGCCATTTCCCCTGCTAAATAAAATCATCCCCTGGCCCAGCGAAGGTCCCCATCTATGAATCCTTAAAAATACATCCTCTTCCTTTTACAGATGCAGAACACCGCCCTGCCATGAAATACCTGCCACCACCTGGCAAGAGGTCCAGGGCTGAAGGTAAGACCAGAAGTATGCACCAGTTGCCTCTTGGATAAAACAGATAATTTTATACTCTTAAAATAGATTGAAGAAAACTATACCTTTATGTGCTCTGTCAGTCACCAAAGTAGGGTTAGTAAACCTTTGGTTAGACATTGTAATCCCAGACAATTAGGAAGAAAAGGCCAGATGCGTCCACTTGGCACTGGGGGAAGGCTCTTATGAAGCGACCATTCCTGGCTGGTTGAGGACTGACAGAATCACAGAATGTCAGGGATTGGAAGGGCCCTCAAAGGATCATCTAGTCCAGTCCCCCTGCCGGGGCAGGACCACCTAGATCAGATCACACAAGAACGTGTACGGAAGGGTTTGGAACATCTCCAGAGAAGGAGACTCCACAACTTCTCTGGGCAGCCTGTTCCAGTGTTCTGTTACCCTTACTGGGAAGAAGTTCTTCCTCATGTTTAAGCGGAACCTCCTATGTTCCAGCTTATATCCATTTCCCCTTGTCCTGTCATTGGATGCCACTGAGAAGAGCCTGGCTCCATCCTCATGGCAGTCACCCTTTACATATTTATAAACATTAATGAGGTCCCCCCTCAGTCTCCTCTTCTCCAAGCTGAAGAGACCCAGCTCCCTCAGCCTTTCCTCACAAGGGAGATGCTCCACTCCCTTAATCATCCTTGTGGCCCTGTGCTGGACTCTCTCCAGCAGTTCCTTGTCCTTCTTGAACTGAGGGGCCCAGAACCGGACACAATATTCCAGATGTGGCCTCACCAGGGCAGAGTAGAGGGGGAGGAGAACCTCTCTGGACCTACTAACCACCCCCCTTCTAATACACCCCAGGATGCCATTGGCCTTCTTGGCCCCAAGGGCACATCGCTGGCTCATGGTCATCCCGCTGTCCACCAGGACCCCCAGGTCCCTTTCCCCTGTGCTGTTCCCCAACAGTTCGGTCCCCAACTTGTACTGGTACATGGGGTTGTTCTTACCCAGATGCAGTGAGGTTTTATCAGCCGAGCTGAGAAAAGGACTGAACAACATTCTTACCCAGATGCAGTGAGGTTTTATCAGCAGAGCTGAGGAAAGGACTGAACAACGGTCAGTGTAGTCAGAATACACAGCCCTTCTTTGCTCCCAAGGGCACAAGAGAGGACATTAAACAAAATACCTGAGCTTCTGGGACTTACACCAGAAACAAGGCAGCTTCTGACTTGACTGTGAAATACTGGGAGCACAAACGTAGCTTAAAATCAGCTGCTCCCTGAAATACGTAGAAAAGTTCACCAAGAATCAACATGATTTAGTACAGTCCTTTTCAGTATGTGCTGTTGGGCTTACTGGAGAAGTGGGGTGTACATCTCCCCAGTGTGTCCCAGTACACCTGAAATCAAGCCACGCATGTCCTCGTATAACACTTGAAAATAAGTGTGTTGTAGCAATGTTGGCTGCGTTATGTAAAGATGGTGGCAGCATTCTCAAACTCTTGTCCCAGAACATGCATACCTCTTACTCAAATCTATCTGCTTTTCTGATTTAGTGGGAGAGAGCCAGAGGTGCCACGCGGAGTCACTGTTTACCTACTTGCAAGCAGGTGAGAGAAGAGCAAATGGAAAAATGGGGTTTGATAAGGACTTTGTGGAACTGACTCATCTAGATGTACCAGCCAAAAATAAGCAAAATTATTACACCAACTATTTCGTTAGGCTTGAATACAGGCAGTGATGTACGCTGTCACTGCCAGGAAATCGGATATTTGCTTCTCGAGTTTACACTTATTTTAAGCCACACACATATCTAAAGATTTGTATATAAATAGTATATAGAATAAACAGTATTTTTCACAGTTACACTATGAAATCAGAACCTATGTAATAATTTTTTGGGGCAAAAAAAAAATCATTGGTCATGAAAAAGGGATCTAAAAATATTACAAAGCAGAAGAACATAACAAAGACCAAGCAGCTTGGGCCTGGAAGCTGGAAAGGCCACTAAACAGCCAGAACTGGAGATGGAAATCAGGCGTGTTTGAGGGCTGCCAAACAGGCACCTCTGGTAATTGGTGATCAATAGAGACTGTTCCATTGATAGGCACCAGTATTTTCTCTAACTGTTGTCACTTATAATCACTGAGGAGAGAAAACCAACTCTAGGTGGCAAGGTGTCCCACCTGCTTTCAACACTTGTCTCTGACCAGACCAAGATGGCAAAGTGCCGTGAGACAAATCCCTCCCGAAGTGTCTAAAGTACATAAATATGCAGTATGTAGTGATTCACATACCACAAGAATGAGAATGTTTGCCCAGAAACATAGCAGATGGTGAGTAAAACATCTTGAGGACAATGAACGCTTACGTAACGCAACGGTATGCAGTCGAGATTGCCGTTCTGCATGCGAGCAGCTGAATGGATCCAAGCTTCCACGCTCCCAGGCTGTTGCTATGGCATTGAAACCTTTCTAATGAAGAATGATGGGAAGGAACTAGATCTTTAACAGGAGGGCTCCCTGCATGAGAAGGGTTAAGTTTCCATATCAAGTAGGAGTGCAATAATCTTCCTTTTTTATTTTTCATCCCATATTTCTCTGTCGTGAATCAGCAACGTGCTTCTTGCCATTTGGAAATAACAGTATGCATTAAATTATATCTAGCACTGTTGACGCTTCGTTGCATTGACATCTGTATAATTAGCAGTGGAGTGTACAGGAAACATAAAATGACATTTTATGAACACAAACAGATAATCAGGGATCAATTTTAGCAGCCTGCAGTACTGTTACCTCATGCTTCATGCTAATTGATGTGGTTAGGCACCAGCACTTAATGGGTCCTAGCCGGCTGGTTCCGACACCACAATTGCCGATAAATCTTCGAAGGATGTTATTAGGATGAAATCTTAACAATGTTCCTAGTAATAAGGTGCTTCAGTTTGGCAAAACTAATAATTTGAAAACGCTGTTGTTTAAAAACAAAATTTATGCATTTTCTGGCTTTTGGTACATTTTGTATCATCAGAGAGCGAAACCATCTCGGTCTGTTTTGCGTTCTGTTTCTCGTAGCACGCCCGGTGCTGCACCTGGCTGGCAGCTCTGCTCAGAAGCAAAAAGTTTGTGCAGAAATTTCAATTTCAGTAAACACAGTTCTATTCGTAATAGGTTTATACCATTAATTGGGACCTGTCATACTTGTTAGTGCCCCTCTGAACCATAGCTCTAAAGGAGAGGTGCAGAACACGGAGAGATAAACTGAGGAAGAAGAATTTAATAGCTGCCTTAAGGATTATATCACATAATAGCTACAGTTCACATGAAAAATGTAAAAGGGAATACTTTATCCCTCTTAAAACATTAATATATAATATAAAGGATTGAGTCTTATCCTACAGACCTGCCACACAAACTTTTTGGACTCAGAGCAGATTTCCTGGTGAAAATAAAATAAATCTACAAACCTAGACTGTTTTAGTTATATTTTTAAACTAAAAATCAAACAAAACAAGCAAAAAAAACCTCACAACACAAAATCCTGTATGCACAGGTTTTTTAATGGACTTATTTTGTTCAAATTTTTATGAACTTCATGCCAGCTTTTAGAATAACGCTCTTTTTTTTCCACAGATGTCTGCCCAGGCTAGTAAACAAATATTGCTGCATGTTTTCCCTCCGTTTTTAGAAGCGCTTTGGGTTTCACTCGTGTGCTTTGTTACAGGAGCCCAGATTCTTTGCACAGTGCTGCTGATCAAACCTGGTGCCTGGAGCTGTAGCCTTGCAAGGATCCTCCGAAATCTAGACCTAGAGAAATTCAGTGTGGTTGGGATGAAACACATAAACCTGGAAGCAGACGTTGCCTTTGGACTCCTGTCTTCTGAAGTGAAACAGGTTTGTTAAGAAACTGGCAGATCTGTGGCCACGCTTGGGTTTAGAGTGGGGAAATATGTTAGCTGGTGAATAATCCGTTCCTGAAAAAAAATCCCAAAATTCCCATCCGGGATTTCCGAGTAGTTGTCAGAAGTGAGCTATATAGAGCAATCAGACCTGTACCCTAGCAGGCACAAAGAAAGCTGACATGAGATGGTTGCTTTTATCGCGTGCCATAAAGCAGCAGACCTGGTTTCTCTAAAACAGAAGTTTGGAGGATCTGGGCGATACAGACCTCCCAGGAATCCGTTTCAGCTGCTCTTTTGCAATGCTGACTCTTTAACTGCAAAACAGGTGTCTTCTCTTTCTTCCCCAAGGTCATTCCAGGTAGGGCACATCTAAGGACCATACTGCACCCTCCACACGTGTGCCTCGTTTTCCTTCCATGTGTATAAACCTGGGAGCTGGGAAACATTCATTGCACTGCCAGAGAATATATACCTCTGGAGCCCTGTTACCTTATATTGCATTACATATACAGCTGAATCTCTGCTCCAGGAGCATGTGCTCAAGAGTCTGTAAAAATGACCTGCAAAGAGAGAAAATTGAGTTACTGTCATTTCAAATGTCTAATAGACAATAAAGAGGGTTGTTAAATCTTGGGGTGTTACGGGTTTTTGTTAGCTAAAAATAGATTTATGTTTCTGCTCTTTTACAGCATTAGAAATATTATTTTTTTCCCAACCTGAAATATCCTGAGATGAGTGTAAAGATATTGTGAAAGCAGGAAACGGAAAGCTGAGCATTTTAGAGGAGTTAGATTTTTAATTTCCACCCCCTGCCTTGAAAAAAAAAAAAAAAAATCCTTGCAATTTGATTGCTTTCATGAAGACATTTAGCTAATGAACTTTTACAGGAAACAAGCCTTTATAATCGAGGCCAGGTTGGATGGGGCTTTGAGCATCCTGATCTAGAGGAAAGTGTCCCTGCCCATGGCAGGGGGGGTGGAACTGGATGATCTTTAAGGTCCCTTCCAACCCAAACCATTCTGTGGTATTGCTCTTGGGTTAAGTTGGAAGAGTTTATAGCACTTTGTTGTAGGAATTCTTAATAGAGTCTTCCAGAAGAAGACAGGAACATACCAGGGCAGTGCTCTAACATAACCATCAATCAGGAACAATTAGTACCTTCTGCATGGTAGCAAAGCAATGGAGCACAAGCATTTGATTTTTAAATATTTACAGATCACTGGTAAGAGGGGTATAGTGGCTATTAGAGTTGATGGGGAAGTGCTTTCCGATACAGCTTTTAATCATACAGCTAAATACAAAAATGCTTAGTTAATCATCTGAAACAGAAAATTTAAAATTGGATTTTAAAAAATCCAAATGTCTACCTCAGGAAGTAATGTAGATATATGCAGGGTAAACGTGAAGAGAGGTTGTTTCATGAAAATTTTCTCTTACTTGTTTTTGGAGTTCTCTAACACACTAGAGCAGCTGTTGAGCACTGATTTAGTTTCCTTGAAGAGCTGGTGACTAATGAGTTTAAAAATTACAGACTATTGGGTTTTTATTGGATGGAAATAAAAAACAGGTTTTGAAAGTGAGAAAGCAGAGATAATAGCCTGCCTTTGGCAAGGGGGAATGGACAGTAGGAAATGCTTTCTGCTGCACAGGGGCTCCTTCTCTTTCTTAAAACCCATCTGAAAGTCTTTCAGTCATGGGGGCTGGAAAAGGCTGAGCTCCCAAGATAAGTAGATAGATTTTCAAAAGGCCTCAGCATGCTTCAGGGACTGGGTTATTTTGAAAATCTGACTTGTAAGTGTTACAGTGGCAGCTGGTGGGGGCAGCACTATTTTTCACAGCTGAATTTCATAAAAAGCATTTAAATTGGAGTGATGTTCATTGTCGATCAGTTTCTCAGTTTAGGAGACAAGGGGATACAGTGCTGTTTTTAAAATGAGGTGCTCAATATTGGGAGCAAATTGCTGAAACTTAGCATCTCTTGTTGAAGAACATGGAGCCAGTGTGTCTGACCCTTCTAGAAAGTTTGTCCAGGGCTTTTTATCTCCTCCTTACCTGCAGCCTGATCCAAAATCCACCTCCAAAAATCTCTAGAAAACTCCCATGTGCTCTGCAATGTTCCAGTTTATTGCATCAACGTAGTACTTGATAGCAGATTTGGGTTTTACTGGTAGCAAGACTATCTAGCATCTCCTTCCTCTTTCAAATGTACTGTTTACATGCACGTTGACAAATATCCTCAGCGATATGGTTTCAGATACATGATTGCTTTTTCAACTTAAATACTAACATTCAGCTTCGAAGTAGCTTTTGGCCTTTGGCATACAATAAATAAGGGATTGGTCTGCTGTTTGCTGAGGTTATCTAATCACAGGAGCCATGATAATACTTATCTGAAGTTTAATAATAATTAAAAAGAAAATAAAGGTCAGGTAAATAGAGCTGACATTGCCTTCTTGGCTCCTTGCATGACCTGATTGTGTTCAGACTCTGAGAAGCAATCACTCCCAGAGGGAATTCTGCCTGTGGAGGCTGTGTCTCCTTTCTGCGCTCATCCAGCAGACCCAGTCCTGCAGAGACTGGCAGTTTTGGATGCTAGCTACAAAGTGTGACTTTTACAGTGGGACCTGATCGTTCTGTGGGGAATTACCTGATACGATTGCTTGCAGTAGCAGGTCGCTGGACTCAATAACTTGATGGACTCCCTCCAGCCCTATCTCGTGATTCTAACGCTAGAGGCAGAAGGAGAATTTTGCTGCTGTTTAATCCCGTTAGTCCTCCAGAGCCAGCGCACAGCTGGAACGTCCTCTCGGTGTGCATCAACAAAATTGCTCACTGAATTCAAGTCAGCTGCACATGTGCAGTCTCGCCGCAGCTGCTGGGGTGTCAGCAAGGACACGGTTTGAAGACGGTGCGGAGGCAGGATGCAAATAAAGGCATCGTTTGGCTGGCAGGGTCTGGAGCAGATGTGAGGATCTATCAGAAGGAGAGAGGTCACCTTGGCTCCCCGACATGGTCGGAGCGATTAGAAACAACATCTTTAACCCAAAGTCTCTGGGGAACAACTGAAAGGCAGGAAACAGAGACAAAGGGGTTTGTTATGTAGATCTAAAAGCGCTGTTTAGAAGCTCTGGAACAAAATCGTTTCATTTATTATGGTCTGTTTAGCAGACACTATGTCTTTGAACATTTTTTTTTGCAGATGTTTCTGACATGGATGAACATTGGTATGTTATATCCAGTCCTTTTGAAAGTTTGCACAAAATCCTATCACTGTTTTTCATCTCCCAAAGAGAAGGCCCTTAGAAAAGTGAATTGGATACGTATTTCTTAAACTAACAAAAGTTTGGATGAGGCTTTGGGCAACCTGGTGTAGTGGAGGATTTCCCTGCCCATGGCAGGGGGGTTGGAACTAGATGATCTTTAAGGTCCCTTCCAACCCAAACCATTCTGTGATTCTATGATTTTGTATTATACAGAACTGAATGAATGTCAGAATTTTGCAGCATGCTATCATGGGCTAAAACTCTTCATCCTCATCTAAACAGAGGTCTCTTATCACAGAAGAGCCTGAGAAACTTTCCCGTATATTTTGCATGTGCAGTCATGCGCTGTGACTGGCATCCCAGGGTTTCCTGCACCCTGTATTTCCACGGGGTGGGAGGATTGACAAATATCACCACTTGTATCAAATCCCTTACGTAACTAACCAATTTAAGAACAGGAGGCTTTCTCATAGATCATTTGGCATTTTCAAATACAGGGGAGAATATCAGGATCGAGCCCGTGGTTTTCAATTTCTAGCCTACTTCTTAGAAATGCAGTTTAGGAGGAATGCGAGTGAGAGAAGATTTGGGTCAAAGTCAGTGAATGGTTTCATGTGATAGAAAAGCAAAAGAGGCCTTGAAGTATTTTATCTCCATATTTTTAACTGAAATGATGGGATTTTCTTTTGGAAATGTTTTATCTAGAGAATTGCCATACTCTGGTGCTTTTAGAAGATTAAAAAAAAAAAGAGGAATTTAAACCTTTAGGGGGCTGAATGATGTGATTCGGCTAAATCAAACGGTGCTTTTCCCCCCCTGGTTTTCATTTCCTCAAAAAATGGAAAGAAGTAAATAACTGTGGGTTAGTTCAGCCAGCGAGCTGAAAATGCTGCTGTTTGTTAAGCTGTACAGAACATGCAGCGCTGGCATGGAGCTCCTCTGCGGCACACTTTGTTAGGGTGAAGGGGGCAGGGGGAGGCAGCCGGCGCCTGCTATGGGCACCCTGACCTCATGCTTGGTGGAAACATCTGCAACAAGCCTGGAGTTCCAAGGTTGTGCTTAATTAAAACAGTTGGCAGGGCTGTGAGTGCCCTGGTGCCCCTCAGTAACCTTCTGCCCCAGGCACTTGCTGCCTTTCCCCGTGCTTCTCAGTCATTATGCCTGTCTCCAGCCTACAAATCAGGCTCTTCTCACTGGTGCAGTGGTTGCTAGTTGTCATTACTGCTCATCCTTAGTTAAAATACAGATCCGAGGGTGTTGTGACCCACACGGCTACAAGAGGAACATCTCTGCTCAGGAGTGGTCACAGGCTGAACTGACAACAGCTGGAAAAGAGGCAAAGGTAGAGAAATTTGTCATGGAGCACAATGCGTCAGTGGCAAAACCAGGAGGGCAAACTGTTTTTTTTCAGCCCTCAAGTAGTGCCCTGTTCTGAGCCTCCTTGTTTTAAGCTCGCTATTTCTGTAGTCCTGATCCTAAATAGCGTATGAAATTCTACCACCCTCTGGGAGAAGCTGGGCTCTAGCAGCAGGATGGGTGTGGGGGTCCTTGCTTTCATGAATTAAAAAAGAAAAGTTCTGGTATTTGTAACCCATCATTTTATATCAGACAAAGAATTAAATGTGGCTCCTTATCTCAGAGCATTTATGACCCTGTTGATACTGGTAATGTCCGTTGTTTCCTCCCTATCCATATGTCACACTGGAGAT